GAGTATGCACAGCCTCAAGCATGTGGTGATTCTGAGGACTTGGGAGATTTCTGAGCTTCAGGAAAGCAGCGTTCTGCCAAATACAGATGGCATTGTGTTGGGCAGTTTCTTTATTTCTTCCTTCAGAGAGACATCCCCATCACCTCACCTCTTTAAGAAACAGAATGGCCTTGGTGGGACTAGGAAGAGGGTTGGGTTTAGAAGGCAGATATGCTCACCACAGAAGGCAGGTACACCACCAACGCACAAAAGGGTTGGGTTTAGAAGAAATTGAAACGTGTGCAGTGCTGAGACCCTGTCCTTACGTCCCTCCTCAGCACAGCCAGGGTTGGAGGACTTTAGGAAACAGGTTTAGAGAACTCAGCTAGCCCCAGGAAAATATGAAGTAGTAATTAGTTTAATTTATTATGCACTTATGTATCAGGCTTTCTCTGCCTAAAACCACCAAATTCTGCCAAACCTAGTGGGTAGTTTTAGTATCCCCTTTTTACTGAGAAGTAAACTGAAACTGTCTTGTCCAAGACCACAGAGCCATTAAATGGTGATACTGGTGTCTGAACTTAGTTGTGTCAAACTCCAAAGCCCAAGCTAACAAATTCTACTGCCAGGCACCCAGACTCCTTACCTGGCATGTCCTTCATCTCTTAATGTGAGGCTTAGGCACTCCTTTTATACAGATGGAGAAACTGAACTCCTAGAGGGCTGTGGCTGTGCGGGGTCTCAAAGTCACATGGTCAGTTTGCAGATATGGAAGAAGGAATAATGCAGTTAGCTTCTCCCAGATTCCCTTCAGGAACTGAATGGGCCCCACTCTTAGCCTCTTTGGCATAGAGTTCAGCGTCTGTGCCTGCCACTGACTTCTGCCGCCTCTCTTGTGTTTCGTTGCAGCTTTCAGAAAACCAACGCCGAGACCCCTCCCAGCGCCCACATGTCCTCTGGCAGGAGCGCCTGCCACTCTGCCTCCCACGCCCCCTGCAGCCCCATCTCCCACCCCCCACCCACCCACCCATTTCCTCCACGCAGAAGCCGAAGGTGAGCCCTTTCTGCACAAAACCAGCAATTGTAAATACTTTTTAAAAATGTACAAAACTTAAAAACAAAACACAGTTTTAGAAAAAGACAAAAAAAAGAGCGAGAGAGCGAGCGTGTGCAAGAGGTTGCGAGCGGGGCCTCCAGGTGTCCAGAGTCCCCGCAAGTATGCACTGAGAAATTTATCTACAGGTCGTTTGACAAAAATGAACAATATCCTATTTATTGTATATACTGTTTTATTATAAATCGTGGATTGTATATTGCATTCTGTAAACCTGCTGTGGTCCCGTGGTGTGCAAATTCGCATGGTTGGGGGGAGGGTGAAGAATCTCTTGCGGGAGCTCTTTTTTTTTTTTTTTCCTTTCTTTCTTATTTTTCACTCTTTTGGGTTTCTCTTCTGTTGTTGTTGTTGTTTTCTGTTGGCAGGACACACCCAAAGATCCAAGTTTGTATTAAAAAGAAATGAAAAAAAGCAAAAAAAAAAAAAAAACAACCAACCTTGTGTCTTGTGAAAGGAGGGGAGGGAGGGAGGGAGGGCAGAGTGGAAGAGACACAGCTGGGGTTTGTCACCAGCCACTGGCCTACATGTGTACCCTACCTTTGATTTCTCTCTTCTGCCTGAATTCTGGGTCACCTTTGCATCCGGGTCTTTCACAGGCCCTAGATCTCCCTTGCCTGCCTCTGGGTCCCCCATTCCACCCCAGGCCCTGGGCCTTTCCTGCTCCCTAGGACTTCCTAGCCCCTCATCCATGCCTTCTGCTCCAGGTTGAAGGATTCTGCTTCCTGGTCTTCATTTTGCCTAGGTCTTGGAGCTCCCTGACTGTTGACACCCCTTATTTTATCCCAAGCCCCAGGTCTCCCTTTCTCTAGATCCTTTTTTTATGTTCTACAACCCAGTTTTCTCTTCCTGAGAAGCCTCCATTATGGCTCAGGCATGGGTATTCTTCAGGACTCCCCTGTTCCATCCCAGGTTCCAGGACTCTGTCCCTTCCTAGTCCCTGCATTATGTTCTATGTCTCCCTGGCCTTTAAGCCCCACAATTCTACCCTAGTACACGGACACCTGAGACACTCATTCCTGAATCAAAGAACCCATGTGCTAATCCACTTGACCCCACGACTGGAGTATGCCCTGCTGTGTGCCTCCCACTGGCTCCAGGTCCTGGATCTCATCTACCTCCAGGCCCCCTGTTTTACCCAAACACACCTGTACCTGCTCACTCAGAACCCAAGGTATGACCAGGCTAGTCACCTGATGTTCTCCACCTTCCCCTTTCCATCCTGAATCCCAAACACTGGGTCTGTGTCTCCTTTCAACTTTGGTAAACTGAAAAAGAACTAACCCAGGCCCTTTTTCTGCTAGGCCTGGAAGAGCTGAGCTGTTTCCCATTGCCTGACATTGGGAGCTCTTGGCTGTTCTCTCCCAAACAATGCCCCCTTTGGCCTCCTGGTCTTTAGGAGCAGTTTTTCCCATGACTCATCATTTTGTGTTAAAGCTCCTCGGAGTGCACCTTCTCCCTGTCTCTCTCCAGTGAAGCTCAGGGAGACACCCAGGGATGGCTACACATGCCTGACTTCACTGACCCAACCAGCAAGGCCCAGGCCTTGGAAGAGTTGGAGGAACCCTTAGTCTAAGGGGGAAATACACCCTACCCCCTGGTACCACTGTCTGAGTGAAGCCAGGAGACAGACAGGTCACAGTCCCAGAAAAATGCAGCTTCTGTGCTGGATATAAAGGCCCATCCGCCCACCCGCCCCCCTCTGCAGCTCCCTAAGATGAGATATTGTCCTTCCCTTCCTGACAACTGAGGGGGAGACAATAGCACGCTCGAGATGACAGTCTCTTGTGGAGCTAGAAGTGGGGACAGGAACCAAAAGCCCCAGAAGACCAAGAAGGATGGCTTCCCAGAGAAAAAGGCTTTCAGAGAACCTGGCCTAGGGAGCCAGGCAGAAAAATGAGGGTGTTCTTGAAGAAGAAAAGAGCATGTCCAAAGGCCTAGAAGTGTTGGAGGGTGGCCAGAGTTGCAGAAGCCCAGTTAGCCAGGTATGGTAGTACAGGCCTCTGATACCAGCACCTCAGAGGCTGAAGCAGGAAAATTGCTGCAAATTCAAGCCTGAACCACAGAGTGAGAAACCCTGTCTCAGAAAAGGAAGAAGGTGAAGAAGAAGCCCAATTAGATCTGTCTGGAGTAAACACTGCATGTGTTCAGGAGGAGAGAGGACCTCAGCAAGAGAACCCAGTGGGAGCTGCTATGACTGGCCAACCCAAGAGAGGGCTTTGCAGCCTAAGAATTACCTGCAGGGAGAGAATGTTGTGTTCAGCAGCTGTCCAGGAGGCTGGCCAGGTGGGGTGGGCTGGGCTGAATGGGCTTCTGGAGGAATCAGGGTTCAGTAAGAGGTGAGTCATCTGAGGGCTGGGCGGGGAGAGGCAGTCCGGGGATTACAGAATGGAAGGGATTGGGCTTAACACCAGACGCTACTCAAGAAGGAGATGAAGGGTAGTTAAGGGTTTGGGGCCTTTTCAGAACTGGGGTGGGCAGGGGAGACCCATGAAGGAAATGGGAGGTTAGGGAGGTGATCGTAGCATGGAAAAGAGTTCATTAACCTGAAGAAAAGATGAAGATTCACTCTAAGAGAGGACACAGACAGGGAGCCAGAGAAAGATTGGGAGAGGGGCTAGGTGAGGAACGCTAGGGTTCCATGAGAGATGAAGGGAAGGGTCAGTAGGAAAATGGGAGGTGGGGTCCTGCTGCTTAGTAAGAGCTGAGGAGGCCCAAGATCCATTCTGGAGACCAGCCAGACCCAAAGGCTCAGCCTTCATGTTGGAAGGTTCTAGGCTGCTTAGGAGGACCAACAGTCCCTGAGGAAAGGAGAGCAGACCTGCCCAGCTGGGTGGAGCAGGGATGGGGGTGACCTGTTTCATCGGTGGTTTTCAGGGGCTGGAGGTCCACCCCAAACCAGGGTGCCACCCCTGAACCCAGAGTACATCAAGACTGCAAGGCTTCTAGATACTTGGGTTTTGCCACCATAGTAAACACTTCCTAAGGTGTTTATTCTTCAAAGTAATCTTTGAGATAGAATAAAAATACTTCTGTCATATGCAGATGAGAAGCTCACAGACATGGAGTTAGTGACTTGTCCAAGGTCACGTGGGAGGTGGGGGAAGTTCCCCCTACTTCCTAGTTTGTCTCAAAGACCGACTTGTTTCTTTTTCCTAACAATTTAAAGAAAAAACATTCTGGCTAGCACTGAGGGTGTGTAGCTTAGTGAAAGAGCACATGTTTATAGCATGTACAAGGTCCTGGATTCAATATCCAGCACTGAAAACAGAATTCTCCCTACAAAGTCTAGAACTGAATCCATTCTACAATAAAAATGTTTAGGGCTGAGGATGTATCTCAGTGATGGAGGCCATGCTCAGCGTGCTGGAGAGTTTGGTCTATAACAACACACATACAACAAATGTAGTGATAAGACATACAGTAATAAATTATATAGCACTGTATTTCAGCTGTTCTAAATACTTTACATATAGGGGGCTGAGGATTTAGCTCAGTGGCAAAGCGCCTGCCTGGCAAGCGCAAGGTCATGAGTTCGGTTCCCGGTACGGGAGAAAAACCAATAAATAAATAAATAAATAAATACTTTACATATATATTCATTTATTTGCCACAACAAATGTCATGAAGCTTCATTGTTAATGATTATTCCCATTTTACAGACTGGAAACTCAAGAGAGAAGTAATTTGCAAAGATGACTCAGTAAGTGGTGACATGAGCGTTCAAAGCAAGCAGTCTGACCTTGATTCACTGTGAAAGTTAAAAGTGAAAACAGTCAGGTGAGGTGGCACATGCATGCCTATAATCTCAGTACCCAGGTGGCTGAGTCGGGAGGATTGCTGCAAGTTGGAGTCCAGTCTAGGCTATAAAGTGAGTTCAAGGCCAGTTTGAACAACATAATGACAAAAATGGACAAATAAATAAATAAAAGGGAAAATCTAAGCTGGGCAGTGATGGCTGATACCTGTAGTGTTCAAGACCAGCCTGGGCCACCCACAAGACCTTGTCTCATAAATAAGTAAAAGTGAAAACCTAGCACCAAAAACAAAAAAGGTGAAAACCTGTCCATTCTACCCCAACCAGTGGTAATAACCTTGTGTCAATTCAGTCTATTCACCTAAATCAGTGGTTCTAAATGCTCACCGTAGAGAGGAATCACCTGGAGAACTTCAGAATCCTGACACGGAAGTCTTACCCTGAAAGATTCTGGTTTTATTATCTGGGTTTGGACCTAGGCATGGTGGGGGGCAGGTAAAGCTGTTCATATGGTTCTAATATGTAGCCAAATTTGAGAACCTCTATCTAATCTGTTATGCTAAGTGTGGTATCCAGGAACGTTCTTCACTGAGTACCACTGGGTTACTGTGGGTTCTCTGAGTGACGGCTAGAGATGCTGTGTGAACATTCACTCAACAGATATTTCTTAAGCACCTGCAGGGTTCCAGACACTGGCCCAGGCACTTGGGATACAATAGCAAACAAGACTTGGAGTGTATTAGTCTGATAAAACTGACATACCAGGAGGTGCCCTTCCCTGTGAGTGGCAGGGGTTTGGAATCCCTGGTGATTGCTGAGGAGTGGCTGACTGGCAGATCTTAGAACAGGAGAGACCTGCCCGCATGGCTGTGTACCTGTTGAGTCTCCTGGCCTGTCCAGATATGATTGAGAGAGGCCCAGGGCATGTTTCTGGGTTTGAATATGGCTGACTGTGTGATGTATTTGTAGAGGTGTGCATGACCCCAGCCTGTGAATATGGGGGCGGGAGGGGATGCTGCTTACAAAGTAAACACCTGCTCACACCACACAGATGCAGCACATACACACAGACAGCTGCAAGGAAGAAGCTGGGTTCCAATCTTGGGGCCAGGAGAACGCTGCCTTGGGTATGTGGGGGAGGCACAGCTGGAAACTCAAGAGTGGGAGGGAGGGAGGAAGGAAGGGAAGCTGGAGAGCCACATCCTTGATCTCTGCTCTGTTTCAGCAGTTCCGGACTTGGTGCTCTGGGTCTCTGTGTGACTCTTGGTGTCCCTCTCTCTAATGTCTGGATCTTTGTTTCTCTTCTGGGTCTTGGCTTGTGTGGCTGATCACATGACCCTAGGTCTCCACCTCTCCAGTCTACTTGGCTGTGTGTCCCCTCTATGTCTCTTGTCTCTGCCTCCATGTCTGCCTCTGTCTCCATGCCTTCCTTGTCCTTGCCAGGTGGGGGGAGGGGCCCAGTGCTTAGGAGCAGGTGTGGGCTCACTCAGGCAGCAGGGAGTGAAGCCGAGGAGGGCAAAGAGCCAGCAGCCCCTGGACACGGCCACACTCCAAGACACACACTCAGGTCGCTCACAGGAACCCTCAATGACATATGAGCAAAGATGGGTTCCAGAAGACATTCACAGGGACACTCACACAGGTACAAAACTGCACACACAGCCACACCCAGAGACACAAAGGCACCAGATAGAGTGGGTCACTTGCAGATATCAGTGGCTCACACAAAGACACATGCTCATTACAAAGGCACACACAACACACAAACATTCATCCAGACAGAGATATACATCCGGGACATTCCTCCAGAGGAAAAGCCAGAGCCAGGGACACACACAAGGATACAAAGACCCCAGGTACTGGTACGTAACAGGCACACAGACACAGAAGACAGCAGGCACAACCACAAACTGGAACACAGACATGCAGCAGTCGCACTTAGAGCCATGCACATTCAGGGGTAAGGAGGCAAATGACATGCAGCAGTCGCACTTAGAGCCATGCACATTCAGGGGTAAGGAGGCAAATGAGCACAGACAAGCATGAACCCTCAAGGACATTCAGAGACAGAGGCACAACAGAAACACTGAGGGACCCACAAGGGACACACCCAGGCACAGGCAGAAAAGCTTCAGTAACACACCCCTCCCTGGGGGCTCATTCTGGAGCACCTGGGGACACGCCCATAGGTGAGGAACAGGGGCAGAGGGCCCCAGTGCACCTGGCACCCGAGGCGCGCCCCGAGGCGCCCCGCGGCCCGGGTGTGCGTGCCCGTGCGTGCGTGGCCTCCGTGCGCACCGCCACCTGTGGGAGGCGAGGTGCGCACTGCGCCCGGGGCTGCACGGCCGGCGCGGCGCGGGGGGAGCGGTTGCCATGGCGCGCAGAGCGCGGCCGCATACTAATGGGCGGCTACGGACGCTGCCCCCACAGCTGCCCCACGCCCGCAGCGCTCTCCTCCCATTTCTACCTCCAGAGCCCGCCAAGTCGCCCCACCCCGACCCACGCACCCCATCGGGGCCCGAGCCCCTTGCCTGGACCTCCCCTCAGCCCCAGCAGGCCCAGCGGGGCAAAAGGCGTTGCGGGGGTGGGTGGGGGAGCCGCTGTGGGCAACCTGGCCTGGGCGCAGGCACCCAGCAGGCATGGCATCTGGGAGCGCAGGTGCTGCCTTAAAAAGGGGGGCGGCTGTCCTGGAAGAGAGCACTGGGCAGGGGAGATACAGCAGGAACTTAACCCTGGGTTGCCACAGGGCTCTCCAGTCTGTCCTCCCCAGGTTTAGCTGGGGAGGGGACTTCCTGCCCAGTTGCTGATACAGTCGCACTCCTCTCTTGGCAGCTCTCTAGGCCTGGTTTGAGGGGGGTAATCACCACACCTCCTCACTGTAGTCAGGCACCTAACCTGGGGAGGCGGGAGCAAGGAGAAGGAGAAGGACTGGGAGAGGAGGTGGTGGCGCCAGAAGGGTTAACACCTTCCCATACCTTGATCCCAGTCCCAGAGCTGCCCTGACCCCCTACCCCCTCAGCCCCACTGTGTTAATTGGCATGGAGGGACCCCAGCGAGGAGGGGGCAGCCAGTGGAGTGTTTCCAGGTAGAGGCAGTGGGAGGGGGGCCTAACTGGGGGGAGCTAGGCGGTTGCCTAGCAACCCCACAGCTGTCTGTTGACCTAGAAGAAGCTGCGCTGTCTTGACACAGCTGGTGTTTACATGTAACCGAGGCTCTGGCTTAGCGCTTGCTTGGAGGAAAGCTGAGGCAGGGCCCTCGTGGCAGTCTGGCTCTGGCCCTGCCGGTTGTGAGCTCCATGCCGGCCTGCCCTTTTTGCTTCCACTCCCACCTCAAAGCCACTGGAGACAGAGTGGGAGAGATCTCAGGGCTAGAGACTTTGGGACTGGAGAAAGTTGATGTACATGGACATACACATACACATACACACACACACTAAGGCCTTCAGCACAGAATGGTGGGAGGCAACAAAAGGAGAGGAGGACTAGGATGCCAGCCTACAGAGAGAACACCAACATCCACAGCGACACATGGATATACAGACCCATGAAATCAAATAACAGAGACACACAAGGCTGACACACGGATGCCCAAGACACAGAGACATAATGACGTACAGACCGACACACAGAAACACAGTCACCGAGTGACTGAAGCACTTCCATACAGCTATGCTGATACAGAAGACAAACAGGTGCTGACCCTCTGACAGAGACACCCAAACACAATATACAGAAACCACCACCTTACCATCAGCAACCCTTCCACGCACACGGCCCTCCCTGCTAGTGTTTGCAGGCCTGCACGATGACGGGCAGACACCCACAGGCAGTCACCCACTTGCACACGTTAGAATACAGAGAAACACACAACTCATCAAACTTTCACTGAATGCCCATGGTGCCCAAGGCAGGCAATGGCCGACTCTGCTGACAGGCAGAGACACACCCAGGAGCCCCATATGTGAAGAGGAACAGGTTCCCAGAGGACCACAGGCCCTGACAAGTCCCACCAGCACCCACGTAAGTACCTATAGCACAAACACGTGCCAGCCAAGGGTGTGATGTACACAGAGCTGAGGCTCTTCCTTGCCCACAAGTTCTGAGTAGCAGCAGATCTGCCCTCAGGTCAGAGGGCCCTAGTAGTCCCAAGAGCAGCGTTAGATGAATCTGTGTATGGCCTGGGCTGCACCCCTAACCTGAAACCTTAGGAAGGAGACAGCACCATCAATTTTCCTAGAAGGCCCTGTCTAAAGGGGGGAGACCCAGTCCTGTCCTCTGGAGTCCTTTTGCTGACAGAGGAAGTACCAGGAACCCCTGGTCTCATGGAGATCAGGCAGCCCTGGGCACCACAAACAGATATCGACACACAGGAGCATTCGGCCATTCCTAGGCGGTTCTTGAAGACTTCCTAAAAGAGGTAAGCATGGGGCCTAGCTTTAGAGGCTGAGAGGAAAGGGGAGGGTGTATAGTAAGAAGGGCCTCCTTTCCTTCTGTGTACCCTGCCCCCCCAGCAGTTACTCCTCCCTCCAGGGCCCAAGGGGCCGGCTGGGGCCCCACAGTCCCATCAGCCCAAGCAGTGAGCAGGAGGAGGAAAGTGGATATTTTTAGCTTCTCTGCCACTGACATTTCACAGCAGGCGACCTGGGGTGAAGCTGAGTGAGTGCTGAAGGCTAGAAGAAGCCGACAGCGCCTTCCCGCCCCCATGCCCAGGAACACAACTGTGCACGCACACAGCCACATCCCCGACGCTGGCGATGCTCACACTAGTGGCACTACTGCAGGTACCTAGTTGCACACCTAGACACACAGGTGCACTTGTGCACATGCTTGCTTCACATGCCACTCATGCTAGAAGCCTCACACACCTAGACACTCCAGGGGCTGGCGATTTAGCTCAGCGGCACAGCGCCTGCCTGGCAAGCGCAAGGTCGTGAGTTCAGTTCCTGGTACTGGAAGAAAAACAAAACAAAACAAAAAAACACCTAGACACTCTAAAAATGTGTCCATTTACGCACACACACAATTCATACATCAATTTCCCACACCTAGCCAAGAGTGCATATGCTTGTTCACATTTATTCAAGAAATATGTTTTCACTGCACACTAAATGTTGGACACTGTTCTAGACACTAAGGAGCAAAAGTGGTAAAAATTTCAATCTCATAGTTTACATTCTGATGGAGGGAGTTTAATAAAAAGAAATAGTAATAAAATATTGCTTCGAGAACCACACATAAGCTGGGTGCAGTGGCGCATGCCTGTAATACCAGGGTTTGGGGACCTTGAGGGAGGAATATTGCAAAGTTAAACACAGCCTGGACAATTTAGCAACTTAGCCAGGATCTGTCTGAAAGTTAAAATAGAACAGATTGGAGATGTAGCTAGCTCAGTGCAAAGACCCTGGGTTCAATCCCCAAGACTGAGAAAAAAAGAACCACACACTCATATAGTCGGGCATTGTGGTGCATGTCTGTAGTCCGAGCTACTGGGGAGACTGAGGCAGGAGGACCGAAAGCTTGAGGCCAGCCTGGGCAACTTAGCAAAACTCTATCAAAATAAAAAGGAAAGAGGGCTGGGGATTTAGCTCAGTGGCACAGTGCCTGCCTGGCAAGCGTGAGGTCGTGAGTTCAATTCCC